AATGCTGGAACAGCTAGCAATAATTTACTTAGCTGAGGGAGCAACACACCGAGCTCTCAAATGGGAGGGGGGGGGGGCTCGGACCTACAGCATGGAACTGCTAGCAGTAAGTTACCTAGCTGAGGGAGCATAGACCCAGCTGTCAATGAGAGAGGGGGCTCGCACAGCATGATCAAAAAACTCTAGTGAAGGGCCTATGTTCACCTGATGCTGCTGGTTCCGGGTGCTCTGGTAAAAACAGAGAACTCAACTCTCACGTGAGAGGAGAACTCCGAATTCAGAAAGAATAGCGCGCTCATAGGCAACCCTTTGGTAAAAGGGGAGCACTGCTAATATTACCACGAGAGCAGCCCACGGAGCGAACCCAGGCGCTCGATAGGAAGCAGCATGCTCATAGTAACCCTCAATGGTGAGGGGAGCGATACTTCCTAGTGTGTCAAATTAGAGACACACTGGTTGAGCGGAGCCCAAGGTACCGGGTCTAACCAACTTAGAGAAAGGGATCGAAGTTATAACACGTAACCCTTACCGTACAGGATTTCAGAAAGTGCACAAAGTCCACCGGTGATGAGAAAGCCTCCTCTCCATCCATAGTGGTTGAGCAGTACTTGTCCTAATGGAGAAAGAACTGACAGAAATACAGGGCTTCCAGCTGCCGCCAGTCCATTGGCAAGTGGTCTGCGTTGGTCAAAATAAGACCCCAGCATAACCAGTGATGGTTGGAAGTTCAATGCCAGTCCAAGACCTTTAAAGAGACAAAGGCATTATTCATTCAAAATACGGAATTTAACAACCATTAAAGGGGTCATATGATGTGGCTAAAAAGAACATTATTTTGTGTATTTGGTGTAATGAAATGTGTTTATGCGGTTTAAGGTTCAAAAAACACATTATTTTCCACATACTGTACATTATTGTTTCTCCTCTATGCCCCGCCTTTCTGAAACGCGTCGATTTTTACAAAGCTCATCGGTCTGAAAAGCAAGGTGTGCTGTGATTGGCCAGCTATCCAGTGTGTTATGATTGGCCGAATACCTCAAGCGTGTGACGGAAATGTTACGCCCCTCACTATATTGTGATGATGCCCTGTCTGGCTGCAGCGATGATTCAAAAACATGAAAACCCATTATAAACTAGGCATTCGTTGCATCCAGTGGGGACATAATTACAGATTATAATGACTT